AAATCAGCAAATTGTAACCAATAACGTATTGCATTTCGATCAAATTCATTATTTGGATCAGGAATATCAGAACTTAAAACACCCGATACAGTCGAAGAATTTTTGAATTGTCCAGATGTTCCACTCCAAGTTCGTTCTCCAACAACACGATAATTATAATGCCATTCAGTTAAAAGATCAAGTGATGGAAAGAATAATGGAATATTCATTCGATATTGCTCAAATAAGCTCATAGTTGATACTTGATATGGAACATAGATTATTGCAGGATGTTGAATAAGATGACGAAATGAATAACGGTTGTATACTTCTCGTAGATGTTTTACATTTATAGATACTCTTAAACGTTCTAATGAGTTTGTTAGATTTGACTTGAATAAAGTGCGAAATATTTTGTTATGTATAGGAGCAATAAGAAAAGGTCTCTGTTTTTTTCTCGAATATGTCACATTTGTATATGCACATAATGATGTTAAAACGATTGCTTTAATTCCAGTAAAATATCGAATATATTCTGCATCATATAAATTATTTCCAGCTATGATGTTCCTGATAAAATAAAATAAATTCAGTTGAAATATCTTTTAATTATAAAAAGCGATTAATGTTTTTTTTAAAGCTTATATATTAATGTTCAACTCCATAGTCATCGTACTCTGTGTAAAATCCGGAATTCCTATAATGTCATGTATGTTTGACAAAATTCTAAATTATGATCTTAAGCCATTAAAAATGCATGTTATATGTTGAATCAATTCATATTTTTCTCAGTGAAGTTCTAGTGAAAAAATAATATCAACATAGATTTCAATGAAAAAAAGAGTAAACTCGATATTCATCTAAATTATTTTTTATAACTATTCTATTTTTATCTAAAAATTAAATCTATTTTTTTGTCAAGTTTATATATTCTAATTCTAGAAAGCTTATCTAACAGTATGCACAATTTTTTATTCTATACTCTAGAGAACATATCGATTAGATATTGTATTAATATTTACCGAGGATTCGAAGCTATAATACGAAGATTATTGTTCAGGTTTTCCCATTCTTCTTTTTTATGTCTTCCTAATTCATATCGAGTTGTAGCAATAATAATCAATGTTCGATTAAATGGCATAAATAATTCACACATTCCTACAGGATGAAAACACATAAATGTATTAACTTGATTCATTTCCGAATCGTTCTTATAAACTTCATAAAATTGTTTTCGTTCAGTAAAACTAGGAGACATTCCATTTGTTCGATTTAATATTTTCAAATCTTTTTCACATGTATCAGTGAATACACAAGCACCTGATAAACTTTTGTCGATAAATGCAATATCAAATGATGCAAGTTGATGTTTAATATCTCTTATTGGGCTATAATTAAACAAAAGAATATATACAATAGAATTTTTTTAGATAAGAAACAAACGAAACTGCCTATTAATAGATATTCCATAATCGAAAAATAGAAATGATTCTTTAGTTTTCTTATCAAACTCAAACAAAAATCTTCTTTAATCGATCAATTTTAATAGTCATTTATAGAAGATATCACTCTGAGTTTTTTTATTCTACGAAATGTATATTTTAGAAGAATTTCTCTTTTCATTCTAACAGTGCAACATGTAAAAAATGAAATTTTTTTCTATATCTAGCAAAGGTAATCTGATCGTGAACGTTTGTTAATGAATATTATATATAACAAACTATAAGATCATCTATAATACTGTATCATCAAATGTCATTATGTATACATTTTTTATTATTAACTAGTTGGTGAATAGTATAAATATCTATCGTTTCGGGTACAATTAAATGATATCAATAAGATCTATTTATTTCTTACAAATACAGATACTTAAGAAATTTTTCTTAATTGATTTGATATGAATGACTTATTCTTACGATACCAATTATTTGAATTTATTTTAAAAAATAGGAAACTCTTTCAAATAATTCTCACTTACTTTTGTTATAAATTTAGACTAATAATTATTATAAAATTTGTAATACCTTATATGAAAGTCGTTGCTCCATACAACAAATCTATTTTTAAACAATGGAATGTTTTTTGGTTTTTTTAATAAAACATTTAATATTAATATAAGATGTGCGACACAGCCAAAGACAAGTATTATTTTGGAAACTAATGACACGCATAGATGAAATGGAATCAAACACATATTTTATAAAATACAGGTGATATGGTTTTAAATCTAAAATTGTTTTAGAATGAACAATATAGTAATATAGTGTAATTAAATTAGATTTCAATTCTAAAAATAAGAAAAAGAAAAGATAAGTTGAAATTACGGGTAACACAAAAAATTGTTTGACTTTTTCTCTTCAAAATTAATAGTTATGTCAATAAGAATCACTATAATTTCATTGTTTTAAATGATATTTTATAGAATATAACACCACTTTTTATCAATGTGATTGTAAGGGTGTAGGTGTGGTTGAGTATTCTTCTCTTTCATTACGTACATTCTCACTCATACCCATCCTTATGGAAAAAAGTTAAACATTTTTTTAAACAAAAGCATCCAACCGTTTTCACGTGTTCTAGTGCGATGAAAATTCGACGCAGTTACGCTTAATTACAATGAAAATATCGCAGTTGGCCGTCCCATGTGAATATTTTTGCGTCTGATTTGCGTGAAAAACGCAAAGAGTGAACTCGTTTCATATAAATTCCAGAAACTTTGAAAAATATATGACAATCCATCTCAGATTCCAACTGAGTTGCCATCAACAATACTTTTCGATGCAGTCTTAGCTTACTTCGGTAAATAGATCGAATTTTACCTTAAGCGAAGATGATCAGCTTTGAACAGATGAACCGGCGATCAGAGGTCGTTCATATATACCACCAAATACAATGAAAAAAAATATAATTACAATAAATAAACCACATTTTCTCAAAGTTCTGCCACATATTGACATGATAGTCCACTGTCGTTTGACTTTCAAATTGTAAGAGACGCTTGTCAGATTGATATCATTTCTCTTTTTATTCAATAGTGTTATTACTGAGAAAAAAAATCATTGAAATGATTATTCTAACAAGTTTCCATCAAAACAATATCATTGCAGTAGTTTCGTTATATTTTCACGAATTAATGAAAAAAGATTTTAACTATATGAAACGGATTGATTTGAACTATTCAAAGAACTGGTCCTAGTATTTACCGTTTTAGCACAATTGTGCTACAACAGTAGGTATAAGAACAGAAAGCATGTTGTGTTCGACTTTTTAATTATGAATCGTTAAAGTTTATACACTAAATATCTATAATTTTAAATGCTATTGAAGTTAGATGAATTCTGTAAATGTTTATCGCGCAGTCCCTTGAATCTAGGTCACAAATGTATTGTTATCTACGTCATTTGTAGCCTTAGGTGAAAAAAAGTAAAAACTCTTTTTTACATACTTCTTGTAGCATGACTTCTATGAAGTTTTAATTATTCCCACGGCAAGATTTTCATCCACATTCAAGGATTCGTATGACATGATGTTCGTGCAGCGATTAGTTTCATCAAATGAAGATTTTGAATTTCATATCTGCATTTAAATTGCATTAAAAGTAATGTTCGTTTGGCCGTCAAAAATGGCATTTTTTTTTCTTTTTGCTGCACCATAAAAATATCATGCGTTAAATTATTTTTTCATAGTTTTTGTGATATGATACTCATGTACTTCTAACAGTTTTCATCAAAAGAAAATTTTGAATTTCATGCATGAATTAAAAATACATAAAAAATAAGAATACGTGCTAGAATGTCCTTTAAAAAAATGTCCTTCGATGAAATGTTCATAGTAAAAATGTAATTCAAAAAATGTCCTTCACTCTGACAATAGATGAGTATGAATGTGAGCATACAATGATGTCATACCCACACTCATCCTCAAGATGGTACAACTACCAATTAAATCTTAAGTATTTGACAAAGGTTTGCTTTAATATTCCATTTTATTGAGATTCTTAAGCAATCTTTGAAATTAATTTTCTAAATCTTAAAAGAATTACTCTCATAGTTCAATTCTCAACCAATTTATTCAAAAATTGCATTCTTATTTATAAAATCGAAAAGAATTCAACAATTTTTTTCTTAGAATTAATTAAAACAAAATACAACAAATGGAAACAATAAGGAATTACTGTTGCGAGAAGATATGGATAATAGTAAATATTAAATTAACTTTGGGTTATGTAGTAATCACAAAAAAAAAATTATATTTTTGATCATAGTAATCATTATATGACTCAATCGAAATCTTATTCGAATTATGTACAAGTCATTGCAGAAGAAAATGAAAGGGAAGATAAATATAATCAATTGAATCGACTAGCAGATGTGATTGTTGATAGACAAAATAATTCTTTGATCAGTGTTGTTCAAGAGAATAGTCGAGTAATCAGACTTTATGTATGTTTCTAATGCTTGGAAGGATAAAGTAAAATGATGAAAAGAAAAAAAAATTGCTTGTGGATGAAAGTAGACAAAAAAAATCATATTAATCAACTTAACGATCCTAATTTGGTCTTTGTTGATAAAAATCAATTTCTTTATGTATCAGATAGTTGAAATTATCGTATAATAAAATAGATGAAAGATACTCGAGAAGGAATAATTGTTATTACTAGAAATAGTCTAGGAAATAATGTCAATCAATTATATAGTCCTCTTGGAGTTATCTTAACGATTTTGATCAAATCCATATTGTAGATTGGAAAAATGATCGAATAATGCATTGATGAGAAGGAGATAATCATGGAAATGAATTAAATAATTAAAAGATGAGAAATTACAGTTGAATATTTTGCGTTTTGGAAAAATTGTTCAATGAAATCCACTTTAACTGAGAAGATCTCACTTAATAATTGATTGACTATCACAGAATCAAGGCCCTAGTAGTATTGGAACAAACTTCAGTAGTAGTTTTTTTGTCACATGAATATACTTAACGTGTCAAGTCTTTTGATTATATTCAAGTTGAAATTTCGCAATTATTCTTTCATTTCTTAATTATCATTCAAATAAAACTTGTTATTTCTTTTAAATTATGAGTTATTGATCAGTGAAAACTTTTCTTCTTTTTTTTCTGATTATCAGGTTTGATGAATTTTTCGAAATTTTAGTTTATATTCAAGATGGAATTAGATAACCGCTCTGGAGCAATGCATTCACTTTGTATATTTGTATATAGATGATTTTTTAAGTGAGGTAAAAGAGCTATTTGTTATTAATAATTAGCATTTTGTAATTATTGTTTTCTAAAAAATTAACAAGACTCTTTTTTTATGTTTGTTTTATTGAAAAAAGAACAAATGTAAAATAAAGGTAATACAGTATGTAAAAACAACTGAGAAGAATGATGCTCACTGTTTTTAAATGTTCTGTAAAAATAAAAATAATTGATAAGAATAATTAATTATTCTTAAAAATGCTTGATTATTTATGTAGGTAATTGTATATAAGATAAGTTTTCTATAGAAAAAAAATTAAGAGATATGATGCTCAGTTTTAAAATGTTTAATAAAAATAAGAATAATTAATTATTCTTAAAAATGCTTGATTATTTATGTAAGT